CCTGGCGGGTCATGCATGCCGACATCCCGGTATAAAGTCAAAATTATACTGCCAAATGAAGCGAAGGTTTAACTGAGTCATCAATCATTGCTCGTATATAAGATCGCGTTCTATGTGTATACTGTTTGCCTGTATTTCATTCTAGTACCGAAACATCTGGTCTCATTCCATATATTCAAGCAATGAGATACAGTCTATCCATTCAATATCAGAATGTCCTTTTTATAAACTGGACAGTCTTAAGCCGCATAAGGAGATTAGTCCTCGAATGCCATTGCCTCATTAGTGGATTATTTTTGAGTTTATGACTCTCCATCCCCAGACCCATCGTAGGAACCCGGGAGCTGATATACCCCAATCTTGCTTACTCAATCATGCGATCATGTAAGTTCACAGCATTACACTTTTCGCTGAGAGTGAAATTTGGAAAGCTTTGCTGCTTATGTTACACAAAGAATAAGTCGTTATAGTGATAATTTTAATTAATGTCAAAGAACTGCAATTATATATTCAAAGATCAATGTGCATATGCTTTTATGATTTGGGGCCAGAAAATTTTTGATACTGTGAAATATATGTAGCACTGCCCACTGAAGCTGAATTAATTGGCTATTAAACGACCACAGCGAAAGGCTACAGCTTAGGACTCAAGAGTGAATCAGTTTCAGTACATACTGATATGGAAGGATATATATACTTAATTCGAACTCAACTCGACTTAATTTCGACAACCTGCTAAAATCTCTGCTTTTTACTTTCCCTCTGAATCATCCTCAACTTTATAGTTCGCGCATTAAAATGCCTCATCAGCACATCAGAAAACATGGCTTTGTATATTTTGGCTCGATTTTCCCTTTCATTTTGTCACCCCTCCCGGTCCTTTTAGGTGACATATGTGAATGACTCATCACTCGTCTCACCGAATCCGATCATGCAACGCATCGCCTTCTCAAAACGTTGAGTTTGTAATAAAAGTCATTTCTGTGTACGTTTGTCATCTTCAACGCTACGACAACGGTGAATCAGAAAGTGTAGACTTTTGCATCACTATGATTTGTGATATTTTCTTCTTGTTTCACAAAATTCTTGATCCATAACTGTCGCCCAAACCAGTCAAACCATAAAGGCATTATAAACACCTTGGTCCACAGGTCCTTGCCTAGAAATCACTAATAGGGAACATGGCCCCCGAGAAGAACTGAGGTATATTTTTAACAAGATGAACGGTTATTCAACTAAACTCATAATGAAGAAATCAAAACGCAGGAAACGAAACAATAAAACGAAACAAAGTCTGTTAAAACGTAGGGCGTCAACATGCCAGTAGTCGTCATCCATGCCGTGTGTGGCCTCCATGAGAAACAACGAAGAATAGCATCTAAGAATGGTATAGGGCTGCTCTTCAAGTCTAACGTCTCGCTTTGCAACGAGCTCAATCACGTAAACACCATCGAAACGCAGAAAGAAAAACACGGCTGGATCAATACCATATGCGGAGCTATTTATGTTTGAGAAATCGGCAACAAACTCGAAAATAGCTAAAAAAGACCATTCATACTAATAAGATTGAGTAATGCCGATCACGGATGAGAACAAAATCGACTTGAAAATAAAGGTTTAAGCACCCAACGGAAACAAAGAAATAATGTGAAAAAAAACTAAGCAATGATGATGAAAGAGGGTCAACTGTTGACTCGAAAAACATGAAAGGGGTACTGCGCGAGACTACCGGAAGAGGTGTCCCATTCAAACAGGCGTGTGAATACCTTAACAACAGCGACGATTTGTCATCAGTCCCGAGGAATGCAATAAATTAGTTAGGGAAAAACACCGAAGCTGACTTAGAAACAAACTTATCACCTTGAACCGTTCTAAGCATTAAAAATACGTCGACCGTATCTGTAATACCTTGACATCACCACACGGTACACAGCGACACTGCGAACCTTGTCTGAGTATAAACATGGTGGTTGAACGATTCATGGTTCGGTACAC